AATAAGTGCCCCCCTCGAATAAGCGCCCCGGGCGCTAATTCGAAGATTTACGGTACTCTTACCTTTTGGTCAGCTACTGTCCTTCCAAGAATTTTAGAACAAGTATGCCTGCAAAACGAATTTTCTCCAGTTTTATCAAGTTATCAGTGAGATTCCTCACTTGTGTCCGCTTAATACAAGGTGTCCGCTCTAAACAGGTTCAATAAGGATAGTTTATTATTAACCCTTTGTAACAAAGTGTAACACAGTGCAACATCAAAGACTGCTCATAGCACAATGTCAATGCATCAATCTGGAATAATCTATTCAGCTCTAAAACGAAATCACTGAAGAGTTTTAACTAAGGTGTCTGACCTGAGCTTTTAGAAGCAAAAAGCCTTTGAAATGTCCGCTTATTGCAGCTTTTGTGCAACAAAATGGCGTAATATTGGTGTCCGTGTCCGCTTAACAGAGGTGTCCGCTGAATGCAGGTTTATTTTACAGTAAATGTGGGAGGAAAATTTAGGCACTCAAGCTGGTGTCCACTTAATAGGGGCTGTCCGCTTAATATAGGGTCCGCTTAATACAGGTTTTACTGTAATCAAAGCAAAAAAAGAGCCCTGGAAAACGAACTATAACTTCCTGGAACTGGTACTTCCTCACCTGTTCTCTACACAAATACACTCTACACAAACACAACGCGAGAAAAAGCTAAAACTGGAGACTTCTATCAGTATGGTTTACTAAACCGTAAAATTCAAACGCGTACGGTCAGCCAGACTGGCCCAATGAAATGGAACAGCATAATAAGACTAGATGGGAATGCCTGGAAAAAATGTTCACCTCCCTGAAAAACATCTGCAAGGAGACAAAATTGAAGGAATTCCAGCTTCAATTAATCCATAGAATTGTCGTTACTAAAAAGGAGTTTCATCAATATGGTATTTAAGCGGACGATGAATGTCTCTACTGTGGTGAAAAAGACTCAATTGATCATACATGTTTTAACTGCCAATTTGTAAAGATTTTCGTAAACAACATAACTGACTGGTTTAACGCTCCCAACAAGTCAAAATTTGTGCCAACTATTGAAGAGAAACTATTTGGTATCATATCTGGCCCATATGAAAAAGAAATATTAAAGAAATTTAATGACACGATCCTATTTATGAAATATTACAAAACCACTAGTAAGATAAATAACTACGCTGTTTACATTTCTGTCCTTGTTAAAAAGTTTTATTTAAGTAAAGAATAAAAAACTTTTGTTATTAGTTACGAAAAACTACTTCCCCCAAAAGTGCCCTGGGTGCTCGACTACCAGAATTCAATGTAATGCCGTACATGAAACTGGTTATGCTATATACTAGAGAAATGTTAGCAATGTGGTGAAAATTAAATAGTTAAGTAATGTACGAGATAATTGTAGGTACTGCGATTTACGTAAAAAAAAACGTGAAGTTCAAATGTAAGTAATATTAGTGACAAAACGCACTGAAAACAAATGTAAAGTAAGTTATATGATATAAACGATGTAGGTACTAGTAGTGCAGAAAACCAATAGAGTTTATGATAAAAAGATTAGCCTCAAGAAGCGCCGGTTTGAGTGGAGTGACTGAGGGTCAGCTAAGAGTAAAGTTAAGTAAAGTAAAATCCTTTATTTAAAACACGATTATCGTTTAAGCACTACATGTTTGAGGGGTCGTGTATCTAATTAGTTATCTAATTACTGATAAAATGAATGAAATATAAGAAATTAACTTACTTTATCGCAAATCTGATTCTTCTAGCACGCCCTTTTTTTTTCTCAAAACATAATGCTCTGATCTCTCATTAATTCTAGTTCCGGTTTACCTAGTTTCTTTAAGGAGAACTCGACAGCTGTGTGAAAAGTCTTGAAGTTAGACGAGGAGTCAGACGCCGCGTCAGACATACTACAAACGATTTTTGTCACAAGTATTTGACAATTCTTTATTGCAGAATTATTTTGTAGTATGTTTATGACAACCTTCATATTTGACCATCTTATCAGAACCTACCTACAGCATCAAAACTGAAAATGCAAAATGTTGAAACTATGTTCCTCGGTTGGTAGGCCAGGGTTAAATAAAGTACCTCTCTTATGACAACATTAAATTTAACAGCTTTAAGCCTTAGACCTATTTTAGACTTGCATTTGTGCCAGGAATGGCACCATATCTATCACAAAGGGGACTATGTTAGCCGTCAAGAAAGCATCTCTTTTACATTAAACGTAAACATGTACACTACGGAATTGTTGGAACTATGTTAGACTGGTTCTTGAATCAGAGTTGTAACCACATAAGCAAGGATGGAACTTTCAAAGCCATCACATTTCAAAACCCTACAATGCTACAAATGTTGGAACTCAACTGTGTCATGTTAGTCCTTGCACTGGGGTCAGGGAAAACTTATCTCTTAAAACTATAATGTTCCTAATCCTATAGTCTAATTTAATTTAATAGTGCATTAATTTAATTTTTAATGCAAGTGTTGGAATTTTACTACACTACCATGTAGTTCCCTGATCAGGGATGCAACTATTAGCGTGTTAAAAATCTGCAGTACTATATAAGCCTGGTAGTTGGACCAGGGTCAGAGATGGCGTCTGCCAGCT